TCACCTCTCCCACTACCGTGCAAATGCAAGATACTGTTTCTTAGAGAACATGTTTCAGGGAAGCTTATCAGCCTAAAAGCTGATGAAGGGGATAAGCTTTCCTGAAACACATTCCCCAAGCTTTGCAGCCTGAAGCTTCCCTGAAATATGTTCCCCAAGCAACAGTGTCCTGCATTAGCACAGCAGCCGGCAACGTGACTGCTAAGGAGAGACTGGGGACAGTGTTCTGTGCATTCCAACATTGGCATGCATTCCATTGAGCAAACCCTAAGCTCCAGCTGGACACCCATACTGGTGGTTTCAGAGGCAGTGCCTGGTTTTAAAACTTAAACTTAGCAATTAAATCTTAAAAATAGATTTAAGTACCTCAACTATTAATAAACATATGTCTTATTTGTATATCAAGCAAAACAAAAGACGTTTATCTAAACCTCTGTTTTTAACCTTAGCGGTGAGAGAAAGTTTTTTTGCATGCTGGCTTGTGAGTGCACTGGGAAACATTTTGCTGTTATTTGTATATCACTCGGCTGTAGAGCCTCAAATCATCTCTGAATTGGTGCCGACACTGTCCTTCCTCCTGGGGGGTGGCTACTTTTCTTCCTCATGGTCGCTGTGTGTGGTGTAAAGTAGTTCTAGTTGCTGAGTGATACACAAAGATACATTTTTGTTAACAGTTAAGGTTAACAAAAATGTTAACCTTAACAGTAGATATATGCAAAAAGTAGAAAAAAAAAAAAGCCCGCTTCAACAGCAGTTTAAACTTACCTGTGTGTTCCTTGCGCGCTCCTGTCCAAAAATGTGAAACTGCACGGGCGGCCGCAAAGCATATTGGGGCGGGCGGATGCGCAGTTCACATTTTCGGCCGGTGTTGCGAGGAAAGACACAAGGTAATTCTATGGACGTGTGTGCTCGCATGCAGACACCATGGGAGAGTACGTACCAGCAAGCTCAGAGGAGTCAGCGCAGGATCGGAGATTCGCTGCAGCGCTGGAGAGAAGGCTGAAAACTACAGGAAAGAAGATGATCGGATTAAAAGACATAATTTAAAGGTACTGTATTTGCTGGCGTATAAGACTACTTTTTATACCTAAAAACATCCCCCGAAAACCGAGGGTTGTCTTATACGTGGGGTAAACAATGTATACCTTTAGTTCGTTTAGGCCAAACTGGCCCAAAACGAACATCCCTAATCTGTCAGCCCGCTGGATGTGCGGTAATACTGTATGTACGGTAGCTTCGGCTACATACAGTAACTGAGCCAATCATGGTGAGCGATGTACACAACCTCTGCCAATCCAAGCAAGCTTTGTATTCATTAATAGGATACATTGCTCGCCGTGATTGGCTCAGCACGGTATACTGTATGTAGCTGAAGCTACCGTACATACAGTATTACTGCACATCCATGATGCTTTTAAATGGTGTTGCCTCGGAAGTGGGGTAGTCTTATATGACGAGTATAAGTGGAAAATTAGGGGGTCGCCTTATACACCCAGTCGCCTTATACGCCGGCAAATATGGTAAGTGCTTTCATTAACGTTGGGGTGAGGGATACATTTTTTTGCCTTTAATGTCACTTTAAATGCATTTTTAAGGTTTGACTTCTGAGTTTAGTTTCACTTTAGCTGTCAACCCGTACATGCTTTCTGTGCAAGGACAAGGATTTGACTTGTATTACTTTTAATTATTCTTATTAAAGAAGATATGCTACTCAATGCCTTCTGTCCAGCCAACCTCACAGAACATCCTAGTTACTAAAAGCTTTACGCTTGTGCTAAATATGTAGAATTGCATTGCATATTCAATTTTGTAAATTGCATTTTGGCAGCACAGCAAAGCTTGCCAACCACATAAAAAGGCGAGAAGCATTTTGTCCAAGCGGAATCTATTCTTGTTGATCATTACCGAGTTCCTGGATAGCACAGAATGATGGGTACAATTAAAGGAAACCTGACATGAGGGTGCAATATCAGGACTACCATTGCTATCCCCTTATACACACAAGTATGTAAATCAGTTCTTTTTACGGACATATCTGCTACAATCAAATCTGTGGCTCTAAATACTGAAGCTACACATAGCCAGGTAACAAATACTTTTAATAAGTCAGTAATGTCCACTTCCTCAATTCTTACACAAAGTTTAAGAGACATTTTTTTTAAATTAAAACAAACGCCAAGATTGGTAAAAATCTAAGTGCATAGTTGCCAGGAAAGACAAATATTTTGAAAATACCAAGTAGCTGTTAACTTCAGGACACATTGCTGCTCATACACATGGCTATCTTCCAGCAATAAGTTTAAAGTGCACAGATGATCAATGCAACATCTATCATAAAAAAATGTACCCATGTTGTTCACCTGCATCAGCTCACTGTGCAAGTCAGTGGGAACTTATAAGAGGTGAGAGACTGCGCTGATCCCACACCACTGACTGTCAGGTGACATCCTATTTAAGATGGTGACACCCAGCAGCAGGCTCAGTATACTGTTTTACATCCAGGCATTGCTTTGAGGCAGAAGTCTATCTTGTGTTTCTATCGTTAATCTGATCTAGGAACCCCTTTTGCCTGTTTATAGTGAAGAAAAGACATTCCTAGTCACAACCCGAGGGCTCTTTGAGGTCTCTCAAGGTTTATAAAGGGAAGACATCCAATTTCCACTCAGAGTAAATTATGTATTGGATCCTCTTCTCCAGAGTGCATTATGCATATACAGTGATACCTTGGTTTACGAGCATAATTCGTTCCGGATGCATGCTTGTAATCCAAAGCGCTTTTATATCAAAGCGAATTTCCCCATAGGAAATAATGGAAATTCAGATGATTCGTTCCACAACCCAAAAATATTCATATAAAAATGATTACAATACTGTACAGTAATATAATACTGTACAAAATATAAAGAAAAATAAACCAATTACCGGTACCTTCGTGGCTAGTGTGAGGGGGACAAGAGAGAGGAGGATTATTGTGTAGGACGACTTTCACTATCACTAACGGAATCACTGCTATCTCTTGACTCAATGGAATCTTTTTCATTTGGTGAAACCCTAACAAGGAATTTATCCAATGTGACATTACATTGTCCTTAAACAGATTAATCGCTCGCACTGCTACAGCCTTATTGGGGTGGTGCTTTTCTACAGAAGTTTGCTCTTATTGCAAGACATTGCTTGTATATCATGGCAAACTTTTTCTGAAATGTTTGCTTGTCTTGCAAAACACTCTCAAACCAAGTAACTTGTAAACCAAGGTATTACTGTATCTGCAAAGTAGACAATGTATCTGGCTCCTTAGGCTGGGCACACACCTTACGACCATCGCAAGACTTTTGTCTTGCGATTGGTTGTAAGGTACTTAAAAAAACGTACGATCTGCCTATGTTGCATAGGCAGATCGTACTTGCGATGATCGCAAGCCACGCCCCCTGAGGGGCGGGCTTCCGATGACCGCAATGCCGAACGGGCAGTGTGCGCTTGCGCACACCGGCCCGTGCGGCTGTTATCGTACGGACATGCCACAAACCCGCCGAACATCGTACGATGCTCGGCGGGTTTTCAAACATGTCCGTAAGTTTAAAGTCGTGCGACCTTACAGTAGTAGAGGTCGCACGGCTTCCACACACCTTACGAACATCGTACGATCGCGGGATTTACCGCGATTATCGTACGATAATCGTAAGGTGTGTGGGCACCCTTAGTTAGACAACGCACTCCAAAGAGGAAACAAGAAATTCAACTTACAGCGAGTGTTTTCTAGGACAAGAAAATGGGAAAAGACTTCCCAAACAGAAGACAGACCCTAATAAACACTCAACAGGGTAAAATGTAACACTTCCCAGTGTGGTGCTTACCAAAATACTATGTTCAGTGAACTAACATTACCTTCGAATTAGTCCCATCACACCAGAGCGTTTGTAGCTCGTATTTGTCAGCACGGAAAAGCTCTGCACAAGAAATCCTTACGATTTATATAGTCCCCGTTCACCTCTCTGCATAACGTCGCACTGAGAAAAAAGACGGTCGCTGGAAAAAAGTACATGAGCTTTTTTGGGCAGATCAGTACAATTAGGAATATAAAATATGTCACATTGCGCTGATCTCCCCTAAAAGAGGTGCATACTTACAGGCTTTTGCGGAGCTGACAAATATGAGCTACAAACACCAGCGGTGTGAACAGGGACTTAGTATTACATTACAAAACAGCATAACTATTACCTGTCAATCGGTCCTCAGGGAAAGGGCGGCCTGCTTAAAAGGAGAACTATGGGGTTAGGGCTTTTCCCCATAGTCCTCCACCAAATAGGACCCTTAACTACAAGGAACACATAAAGGGAATCATAGCAAATAGAGTAACAGAGTAAACCATTGAACCATTAAAAGGAGAACTATGGGGTCAGTGTTTTTCCCCATAGTTCTCCTTAGGGTAACGGGAGGACACAAACTAGCGTCCTCCCGTCGTCCTAAGCTCAGTATATAGCGAGCTACAGCACGCGGTATACTGAGACGCCACAGCTGAAACAGACCCCGACAATTATGTCTGGATCCGCCCAGCTGGCTCTGCCTACCTAGAGGCAGAGCCAGCTGTACCCGCCGACTGAGCCGACCTGTGACAGTTTCATTGTCACAGGTCAGCTAGAACTAGGAGGATGAGTGAAAAGCACTCACCTCATAGTTCTCCTTTAAGTGTTGACAGAATACAGATGCAACACACCTTGAGGAACACCTAGGTAGTGCCACTTGAATTAATAGTATGTGCCATTGTACAATTCTATTAAACTGTTTGAAACTTGCCAAGGATATGTATTAGCCAGCTATATTGTGGCTGAGCTGAAGCACAAAGTAATAAAGCAAAGGCCTATGAGTACTGCAGCAAAGTGTATTATAAGATCCCTGTTTACCATGTAGTTTGGTATTATTGAATTGATTTAAAACAGAAACGTGCATACAAAAAGGCCTTTTATTTCAATACAAATAGCTAAAAACCATGAACAGACAATGGTATGTACATAAAACATTTTAAACAGCAAATTCATTTTTGACCAGTCGATCCAAAGCCACCAGCACCTCGCTCCGTCTCATCTAGGGTCTGTGAAAATGTAAACAGAACATAAAATGAGGATTTCAATGCCAAACATGTATCGCAGGCATCCTGTCACACAGAAAGGACAAGTATAAAAACTACAAGCGATTGCTCAAAGTATATGTGAATCATGTGTTTAACAACCACAACGGGTGGAGTACTGACATACAGTACTGCAAACAGTGGATGTCGCCAAACAAAATGAGCCATAGTCATTATTTCCCAGCGGTCATGTGACCGCCATTTAATTTCTACAGTCTATGCCGGTCTGCTGGTGGAGTTAAGTTGCTGGTGAGATTGCTGATTACTAAAACTACCAGATACCTTTGGCACTATTTCCTTTGTTACCCTCCGAGAGCTGCTGTCAATCAAACATCACAGGAAAGAGCAGGAAGCATATGCAAAACTGATGGTAGGATGGCATGCTTTCACGAAGGAGAAACTACAGGCATGTTGTGCGACAGCACAGTGTCCTGTTATCCCACTGTGGGAGCATGAAACGTAGGGTGATGCTGCCGCTGCTATATTGCAAAGCAATGAGTTCACATGCTGCTACAGGAAGCCCAACTGACAAGTACTGTGACTGGCAGAATCTCCAGATAAAATGTAGGAGACAAGCACTTCTGAACAGAGTTGACTTACACTTGAATAGTGGTTACCTCAGCATCAAACAATGACAAATATCTGGCTATACCCATTAGCCACCATGGTTTTGCAAGCATGTAAACCAGTGTACAATTAAGGTATACTCCAATGAAAAACATTTTGCATGCAAACTACCTTTGGAATGGTGTCATTGTTGGTATGTATTCTGCCTATGGATGGCCATTTGCCAAATCCCTATAGTATTTGGCACTGTCCCTTTGGAGAGGCCCAGAAAAATAGGCATTGCTGAACCCATAGCACTCATCCAGAAGCACTAATGTCATAAAAGGAAAGCTGTATAGCACAGAACGGGACACAACACACACAGAAGCACTGCGAGAACCCCAAAAAATCTGGCTGAAATGATCACAAGAAACTCACAAATAAATGAGTAGGCCTTCTAATTATAGCAATTGGAATTTCTTCTATGATAATATTGAGTATTTCTGTATTCTAAACATCATTTAAAAGAAGAAGATCTACAGATCTATAATACCGGTTCTTAAATACACACTACAAATCTGCTTTTCAGGATGGGTAAAATAATTGCACTGACCTTCACCTCTTCCAGATCAGGGTACAGAATACTTTCACAGATCAGTTGAGCCACTCGGTCTCCTTTATTAACTAAGAGAAAATAACGTATTAATCCTGTTATTAAACTAAGACACTAATTATAGCATGAAGATATTCTGTGCTATTGATTAGCTTAGACAAATACAGTAGTTAGATACTGGTTAGGAATGATGTCAGCTCAATATAGAAACTACCTTTCTGCACAGCTCTAAAAACATTGACAACCAACTGACATGAAATACGCGATTCATTTCAAATTACTTGTCCAAGGACTAAAGCGGGGGCCCATCTACTTACTATTACTCATGACAATCTACTTGCCATGAAACAAAAAATAAAAACAGTGTGCTTCTCATTGGTCAGCGCGGTCACCTGACTGCAACTTGCAAGCAAAATTAAAAATTGATAGCGCAGGGCTGCACTACCAGCAGAGGGGAAGCACCGATCGGTAAGTATAACAGGGAGGGATTGAGAGAGGGCCACATTTGAACGGGTAATTACATTTTCCCAAATTAACTGGGAAAGTAAACTTACCCATTAATGCGCATTGTGTGTGTTGGAGAGCGCTGCTGCCCGGCTACCACAACATGGCACACAGTGGAATGGGGACAGCGCTAAGCGCGCACACAGGATTTGCATGCAGATGGTGGGGCAGCGGGATTGGTTTTAACTTTTATTTCACTTTTTAACAGTACAAAAACAGTCCACTGCTCCAATTCCCAGGCCACTCAATCAGCAATCACCACGGGTGCAGGCAATATAGGCACATCTCAACCTCCAACATGTGCATTCTTCTCAAAAGACAAGCCGTACTTCCATGGATCTCCATGAATTAAAAACGACTTTTATTGATTTAAGGAATGCATACTGTGAAACAACATCCCATGTGTATAATACCTTTGACACGCTTCACCAATCCGGCTTAGTCAATTATTATTATTTTATACTTTATAACTTAATTTCTTAATATTTGTTATTATTTTACTCTTTTTTCCTTAACTTTATTGCTATCACATAAGAGCTCCTGCCTCACTCATCACACAGAGCAAATTAGGGAACGGACACTCTCCAACCTGAAATCATTGCTGTGGTCGTGGGTCCCACAGACGAGTGTGGGATGCCAAAAACAATGGCCAGGGGGCAGACACATGGGGGTGGACAAGCAGGCTTCTATACAAGTGATCTGGGTGGCTGCCCCACAGCAGGGCTAAATGTAGGGGGGGGCGCCTGAGACATGCAGTTTGGAATCCCACACCCATTTGAGGGGATCAATGAGCTAACAACCTAAAAACCCAACCTAGCTGATCTGCCTGCACAAGTTACCCACAGACATTGTGGCCATAGTCCTAACCTTATTACAAGTATTTAGAGAACGCAGAGAATTTCTAGACACAAAGGCCTAAGATGTCCTAGGACCAAGGTTTTGGAAAGGGCTTCTAGCATTTTATTCACAGGGTTTTTAAAACACAAGGATATCCTCTACAGGGACAGTCAAAGTCTGTTAAGACATGTAATGACCAGATCCAATAAAGGGATGTCCAACTTTTTACATGTTCCTGACACAAAACATTGAATATATTAGAACAGAACAAGGCCCACCTTGTGCTGCTATGTGTGTGTGTAGCCAGAGGGAAAAACAATCAAGATACAAATGCGAGAAGCCACTCCTGATTTTAGTAGAATACAGTACCAAGCTAAAGAGGTTCTTGAACAACAAATAATTCTACATACCTTTAAAGGATTCATTGCCAAAATTAAACAACACAACACCAACATTTCCTCTGTAGTCTTCATCAATAACTCCAGCTAAACGTAAAAGGAAGCAAAAGAGTTAACTTAAAATGAGGCATGCACTATGAAATAACGAAAATGTATCACAGAGGAACACACCCAGAGTAAAATATAATCTCCTTGGAGGAAAAAAGTGCTCCTCACAACAGGAGGCCCAGACATCTATGCTGAATTGCCTTTGCGATGCAGAATTACATTTCAAATTGTGTAATATGGGTGGAAAGCCCATTGCAGCCATCAGTGGAAAAAAGTCACACTGGTGCTGGCAGGTTAATTTGATGGCCCTCAGAAGCAAGCTCCTTCTGTGTCAGTCTCTTGGCTCTAAAAGCTGCCTACGCCTTCCAGCTGTGGAAGGGAGCACAATGTTGTATTGTGGTAATTTCTATAGAGTATTCAAAATCTTTGGAAAACAAAATATTTCTAGACTAGCAGAAATAAAAACTGTATACAACATACACATAATACAAAAGAAGCAAAGTATTTTGTGGACATTTAATTCCATGTGCAAAATATCCACATCATCATGGATGATATTAGAAAAATATATGAAAAGGAAATTAGAACTTCTGACCACCAATTACTTGTCACATGGTTTTCAAGAGGTTCAGCTACTGCATAATCATAACAGTATATGAAAAGAACTGCAGAATGTAAAGTCCTATGAGCCCAATGCTACTTCACCTTCTCCAAACAACGATTATGCGCAAAGTTTCAAGGCAGCAAGGAGCTTACGTTTGGTTTTCACTTTTGCTGCAGTAGAACGGTATTGTTTGGTCACAGTATTTATTTCTCTTTATCAGTCTCTGTCATTCACTTCAGTTTTTCAGCAACTATTCTTTTTTGCCAATGAAGTATTGCCATGCTTTGTGTATGCAATCATAACCGTGTAGACGGTTACCCTTGAAACAGCAAAAAAATGTGGCTGTTGTGGTTACAGACGTTCCAGGTAACAGAGCTCTGCCACACAGCACAACCATGTCTAGCAGGGCAAGAGGCTTGGTATTCTTTTGCTACTGTTCAGTATCACTTACAGGTCTAGTCTCTCCCCAAGCCTGTGAATGGACAGTAAAAAGAAGACCAGCAAACCAATTAGATCACCTACCTGCTTCTCTCCTTCACTGAGCATGTCAAGGTGCCCATACACTTTACAACCATCGCAAGACCTTAGTCTTGCGATGGTTGTAAAGTAATTAAAAAAACGTACGATCTGCCATCTTGGACAGGCAGATCGTACTCTCGATCATCGCAAGCCCGCCCCCCCGAGGGGCGGGCTTCCGATGACCGCAATGCTTAACAGGCAGTGTGTGCGTGCGCACACAGGCCCGTTCGGCATTTGTCTCCCGAGCACCGTTCAAACCAGCCGAAAAATCGTACGATTTTCGGCTGGTTTTCTAGCGTGCTCCTTAGACAAAAGACGTGCGACCGTACAGTAGAAACGGTCGCAAGTCTTCGTTCACACTGCTCGATTCTCGTACGATCGCGGGATTTCGAGAATCGAGCAGTGTATGGGCACAACTGATTAGCTCATTGTATTGCTTCTCTCATACAGCCCGAGCTCAGCTGTACAGGTAACTGCATGAGTGCGATTTCAGGTCAAACACAAGTACTCTGCTTGCATTTATAATATAAAATGTAAAGGGATATCTATATCCAAAGCACATATTTTTAGCTTTGGATAGGGTGGGGAAGGGTTAGAATGTCTGTCATGTTTTACCGCTCTTTAGGGCTCTATTGGAGAGATTTCCTCTTACTCACTCAGTCCTAGGGAGAACCCTTTCATGAGACACAAGGTGAAGGAATCTCACAAACAGCAAAACAGAAAAAAAAAACTCCAACATTTTTACATCTAAGTAGGTGAAGGCTAGAAACTCGGTCAACGTTTTATGTTCATCTCTTTCCCTGTTGCAGATTTTACCCTAACTTTCTGTCTGGCAAACACTGTCACCAAAACAATGTGAAGGAAAATCTCTGTAATAGAGCCCTGGATAATAAAACCTGACAGGGATTCCAATCCTTTCCCACTCTATCCTAAACTAAAAAAAAAAAAGGTTTTGATTAAAGAAGCACTTTAAAAATGAATACATACAGATGCATTTATTTTAGGGCTAGTAATGATTAAAATGTTTCTTTAAAAGGTTTCTTAATCGATTCATTTCGATTAATTATAACGCACATACAGATCCAACTACATTGGCCTATACACATACAACACAGCAATGAAGTAATACAATGAACTAGGATCACACTAATCCAGCACGGTATTAATCTCACGTGCCCCACTCAATATGGCCGCTGCTTAAGTGGGGCAACTCAGAATAATAACGTGCTGGATTAGTGTGATCCTAGTTCATTTTATTACTTCATTGCTGTGCTCTATGTGTATAGGCCAATGCCTTGGCTGGTGCTCATGCAGAAAGTTTCTTGGGCAAACTCACCAGCCCAAGTGGCTCTGTTGGCTAACAAAGGGGGGGAGGAGTCCGGTGACGTCACGGACATTGTCACCACGCTCCTCCCCCCTTCCCTTCGTTAGCCGACGGAGCCACTGGGGGAAGGAGTCCGGTGACGTCGATGTCCGTGACGTCACTGGATCTCATGCAGAAAGTTTCTTGGGCAAACTCAACCGGTCCAAGTGGCTCTGTCGGCTAACGAAGGGGGGAGGAGTCCGGTGATGTCACGGACATCGGCGTCACCGGAACTCCTCCCCCTTCCCTAGCTGTCATCTCCCCCTTCTCTTCGTTAGCCGATGGAGCCACTTGGGGAAGGAGTCAGGTGACGTCAATGTCCGTGAAGTCACTGGATCGCCGGCGGAGAGGTGAGTGTTTTCATTAGCGATCAAAAAATGTTTACTCAATCGATAAGTTTAACTATTAAAATCGAGAAATCAATCTTTAATTTCCACAGCCCTAATTTATTTGTGTCTTCTAGATCTACCTGGAGTTCAGCTTTAATTCAGGGAAAAGCACCATAGAAGAGAATTATATTAACAGTAAAAAGAATATGTAAACAACAATGAGAAATCTGAAGATTTCCAGTATCTAGAGACTTTTTTTTATTCCAAACCTGGGATCAAGCTCAATTTAGTGCAAACAAGTGTCTACCGTATTCATAGAATTCACTTTTACAATGAATTGAGAAATATGAACTGGTGTACTAACACAGAATAGGTCATTTAAGTAAGCATCAGATATATTGGTTGTCCAAGATTTCAAACTGTTACCAGATCCAAAACCACAATGGGAAATGAGAGCTGAAAGTTTAGAGGTTTGAGACTTTTAAAGACAAATAGGAGTGGGGGAGAAAGCTTAGAAACAGGGTCTGAAGTCAGCATTTCTGAAACCTTCGGGTTATACTGCTGCCTACAAGGATTGCACACTAGCAAACAAAACTGTAGGCCAGTCCCGGGTATAACCATCTCCTACTACCAGCATGCCTCAGTTTAGTAGCAAACAGTAATAAGAGAATTATACAGTGGGGTGGAAGCCGTGTCCCTCATACTAGGATTCATTGTAAACTAACCAGTAATATCATTTTTAATATAAAATGGGTTTCAAAATAGGATTTTTGTACTCCCAGTAAAACCTTTTTCTTGGAATCTATGCATCTATCTTGAGTCCACAAAGCTGTAGGTCAGGGGTGCCCACAAGGTCAATCGCGATCTACCAGTCGATCGCAAAGCTATCGCTGGTAGATCGCGGGTCGACTCCCGGTCCCGCGCTCTGTTTACCTGAATATGTCAGATGCTAAAGCATCCGACACATTCGGCTCTCCCGTCCTGTCTATAGCGGTCAATACCTGCCGCATGTATCGTGAATGCAATGTTTTAGGATGGTGTTTAGGGTTTGTTCACACGAGTTACAGTACAGTACGTTCCAGCGCGGTTAGCTGGAACGCACTGTATCACATGGTAAACCCCTGCGTTCTCGGCTGGGAGGGACCGTGGCGGTGAATTGAAGTCACCAGATATCGCAAACCAGTGCGATCAGAAACGATAGTGCATGCAGTATTTTTTTCCGATCGCACTGGGCCAGAACGCAAGGATTTTTGTGCCGCGTTCTGGTGCACGCGAACACACTGCGGCTGGGAAGGGGGGCATGGCTGGTGTGCCATTGACTTCAGAACGCAGGAGGGAGTTTACTATGCGATACAGTGCATTGGAGTCAATGACACCGCAGCCATGTCCCCCACCCACAGGGCGATCACCCGCACCCGGAACGCAGGCATCACTGCCTGCATTCCAGTCCAGTGCGATCGGCAAACATAGTGCTTGCAGCATTTTTGCGGATCACACTGGACTGGAACGCAGGCACTAATTTGCCTGGGTTCCGGCGATCGCACTGTGGGCAAGGGGCCTGGCTGCGGTGCCATTGACTTCAATGCACCGCCACGCCCCCTCCCGCGCTACTGAATGCAGGTGTTTTTTTGTTGGTAGATCTCATTGAGCTCGTCATTTGAAAAGTAGATCTCCAGACGAAAAATTGTGGGCGCCCCTGCTGTAGGTGAACCCTGGGTATAACCCCCTACTACAAGCATGCCCCAGTTTTGTAGCAAAGCTGTGCTAAGAGCATGATCGTAAACAGAGGGGCAGGAATAGTGTCCTTCATTGGGCTAAGAATTTTTTTTTAAGGCGTACAAAAATACAATTTTCTTCTTAGTCCATCGAGGGACACAGGAAGCCTTAAAAGAAGTCCAGGAAAATCACAAACAAATCCTTGCTGTGGGGCTACCCTCTTGGCTAATTAAGCAGTTTTAGTGATTAGCACTCACCTCTCTCCCCATCTGCTCTGGCTTTTCAATGGACCTGTATAAGACGTGATGATGGCAGCAGACCGCCAGAGCACAGGGGAGAGGAGGCTGCAGATCCAGTCTAGCAGCCCGGAGGGAGCCAGTGGACTGAGGATAAGTAAATAAAGCTGCTTTGAGTCCCATAAACAAAATGAGCACTTAACCCTTGATGTGCAGGGGTAGTACAACTTCAAGGGTAAGTTGGACATTTTCCTGGAGTTCTTCTTTAACCGTTCACAACTTCCAAAAGCAACCAAATGAGCAGTGGGCAACAAAGAACAACGGCTAACAGGCCCAAAAGTAAAGTGAAACTGCGCACTGCTTAAAGAGCTATCTAAAAGACCTTACACCAGAACGGAAACAAGCCTTTCTTAAGGAAGCTAAAAGATAGATTTGCACAGCCTGAAGCACAGTCCAAACGATAGTCAAACAATGGAGGGAAATTTCCTGTTGGTGAACTGGAGCCGGACAAAAGAACAACATCCTGGTTAAGGTGTAGAACAAAGAACAACTTGGGAAGGAAGTCCTGGACCTCAATACTTTCTTATGCTTGTGCAGAAAAGGGTTCCTTAAAGTGACATTAAAAGGCAAAAAAAAAAAAAATTCCCTCCCCCCACGTTAATGTTAGCACTTACCTTAAACTATGCCTCTTTTTCCGATCTTCCTCTTCTTTCCTGATGTTTTCAGCCTTCTCCAGCGGTGCGGCGGCCCTCTGATCCAGCGCTGACTGCTCTGTCCCTCCGATCCAGCGGTGTCTGCATGCGCGTGCACGCGTCCATAGACTTACCTTGCGTCCCTCATCGCGTCCATGCAGCAGAGTAAACCTTTCCGGGAGAAAGGGTTTCTATCCCGGGCGGCCGCAAGCTGCTGGGCGACCCCTGGCAAATCACCATTCAACCCCCCACTGGGTCGCGGCACACAGGTTGAGAAATGCTGCTCTACAGCTTGGCATCAGTGGCAGAGCTACCAGGCTCGCATCGGTTGCAGATGTGACTGGGCTCTGGCGCTCCACCACTTTTCTAAAATCATTAGTCTGTATTGTTTTAGAAAAACTGTCACATGACAATAAAATAAAAAGGTATCGGCGAGTACTTAAGGAAAAGTATGGGAACATGTACTCAATCTTAAAAGAAAACGGCATCAGTGCATCCCTAGTGATTACCTTACCCCAGCGCATGTAAGTGTTACAAACAGTATATATAAACACACATTCATACACACTAAACTCCCAGCTATCCAGCACCCACGGGGATCGGTAGGTACCGGATAACTGTAGTTTCTGGTTGCTTGAGAGTTAATAGTGACTCTTAAGCAATGCAACACACACACACACTTTAAATTGCTTTTCCCTTAACACCTAATACCCCAATTTTTGTACATGAATGTATTTAACAATCTATATGACATTCGATAATAGGTTCAGTTTCCTTTGACCTCCACTAATATCCCTTTCTCTATACATACCTCCAACATCAATGAAGTGCTTGGCAGCTAATCCAGATCGTGGAGCTGAGTTAGGGAAAGAGGAAAAAAAACAACTAATTAAAGCAATTCTCACAGAATATATTACTTAACCATAGCAATGAGAACTACAACAAGAAAAGACATACCATGTAACAGTAGGGGGAAATGCAATCTATCGCTTTGTTCTCACAATTAAAGTACTTTTAGAGGTTTACCATGGCAGAGATTGCACATACAAAACACACTTATGTTGGGCTTGAGGTTAAGCAGCTGCAGTTTTGGGCTCCGTTTACACAGGCGATCTGGCATTCCTGAAGCAGAAGTCTACAAAATCCTGCTGCAGAAATCCCAGATGTCCCGTTCAGATGCAGCTGCTGTACACACTGAAGTAAATGACAGGGTGTTAGTGGCTGCATTTGTAAGCGGCACTCCGCACATAATCATACATTGCATGTCTGCAGTGCTGCATCCATCATACCCGCATTGTGGTGTGAATGGAACACATAGAAAAAAAATTGCCTTGAGCCTTTTTTCACCGTCTCACAAGCTGAGAACTACAACACACCTTTATATTTATTCACATGCTCTCAGAAAATTAAAAACATGAAAACTGTACCCAAACATATTATTATTACATTTTCCATATAGGAGATTTTTAGTCAAATCACGACCGCTATAGTCCTGAGATAAGCCGTTGCAGGTGTTTGGTTGTGCTTCCCCCAGCGTTGATATAAACATGCACATTCAGTCATATCTATGAGGATGTGATAAGGCTCGCTCACACAATGGACTGCTCTCCAATATGGATGGCTATAATTGGGGCTGCAGCATTTCTAAACTCACAATGGGGTGAGTGAGTGAGTGAGTGTGTGTGTATATATATATTTTTTTTTTTTTAAAGGAAGATTCCGCATTACAAACTGCAGCTTTCTGTGTCACCTGCCAGCTCAGCAGATTGTGACTGGGCGTCATCACTCTGCAAGACGCTCCACGTGCTCTCTCTCACATGGGCTGCCTAACCACTTCCTTTCCAGCTCCCAGTACCTAAACCATGAGCAGTGTACAACGCCTCACAGGCTTACTCTACATGTAACTACCAGTCATCCGGATATCTGCTGCGCAGGTCTAGACTACTAATAGGAGGACATTTTAAGCAGTTACATTACAAGTATCAACACTGTAAACTTCTTCTAATGCCTTTAAAATACAACAGGATTATGGTAGCTGGGAATGGCACTTATTAGATATAATCCACCGACTCACCAACTCGGCCATAGCATCCTCTTGGAACACAGATCTGGATGTCAGTTTTGACAATAGCTTTGTCATGTGGACCAATTACGTATTCATAGGCACTGTAGTATGGAGAGAAAACAAACCAAATGATATGTGAGAGACATGGGCACTGCATTGAATCACTGAACTTCTATATGACATGGTTTCACAGGCTTCTCAATTGTCTGCAGAGTAAAACTATGGCAACATTCACACAGGCAGCAACCGGTGAGAATCACTAGAGTCTCTGCTGAATGCAGTGTGCACAAAGCTCATCTGAGCTGTAACATGTGAACAGAACGCACATACAGCATGCATCCATGACCTGGCATTTCTGGTCACAGCTAATCAGCATGTTTGTGGGCTTGTTCACATCATAATCTGAGTGTTTCGGATGTGTTACCACATACATCATTATGCATGTTTTTGACACATTTCGGTAAAAATTATTTTTACATGCATTCAGGTGCGCAAAAAAAAGCGTGTTGCTGAACTTTTTTGAAAGCTCTGGAACTGAATGAAATGGTGTTAACTAGCCCTATGTAAAATCATTGGAATCACTGTGCACAGCCCGCCCCTCATTCACACGCGCGTGCCGCCCGCCCTCCCTCATTCCCTAATACGAAATCACGTGCACTCCATACAGCATACAGACCTCGAAGTGACAACACGGATGGCACCGTGTCAGATACAGTCCAAAATAGAAGTCAACAGCACTTGACATGTGCAAGGAGCACTTTTTATTAGATCGTCACATGCATCGATTTAATAAAAAGTGCTTTACTTCTTGCACACATCGAGTGCTGGTAACTCCCCTCATTCACACACAGCCCGCCCTCCCTTCATTCACACACACACAGCCCGCCCTCCCCTCATTCACACACACACACAGCCCGCCCTCCCCTCATTCACACACACACAGCCCGCCCTCCCCTCATTCACACACACACAGCCCCCTCATTCACACACACACAGCCCCCTCATTCACACACACACACACACACACAGCCCACCCTCCCCCTTGTCCGCAAGGAAAATGTAGCTGATTTGTGGACAAGGGAGAGCGCTGGTTCCTGTGATGACAGGGATGTGTCCAATGGACCTTCTGTCCTATCGTATATACTGGATGGCACACATTGCTCTGCATGCTCCTATTTCAGCCATGCTTTGCAGACGCCACACTAAAGATATGTCATTTTAAGGAAGCTCAATAATACTGCACTGTGAAATATATTTTGAAGGTGAACTAACCCTATAACACAGCATGAAGGGTCAGCGTATAAAACCGTGCTGGGAACAATTACCTGTACAGATCATATCCCGCAGCCCGGGCGGATCCTCTGGTGGGTGTGTAGGCATTCTCTGACAGCTTGGCGAATCTCAGCACCGGGCCGCTCCTCTCTCTCACATCGTCTTCTTTGGGCCGTTTGGCGGGAGAGGTGCACACAGGAGCGAGCGGCATGGTGATGGAGAGGAGACACAGTCAGCACTAATGTTCCCGCCAAATTTTCACCTATAGCAGAGCAACGCCCCGTCACATGTTCCCGGCCCCCCTGTCAACTAAGCTAGGCTGTGCAGAGGGGGCTACAGAAAAATGGCCGCCACTGCACGCAGCTAATATTCTATTACCCTACAATGTATGCCTACAGACGGCTCCATCCCAGCCATATATGTATACGGCGTCAGCCTTCCACAATATCTGCCCAGCGTGCTAGCATAGCAGGTTACACAGCAGCACAAATGTCACTTTTCTGAGGCGGAAGCTGTGTTGGCAATCTGCAACTTAGTCTGGTGGGGAAACATTCCCTCCCTCCCTCCCCGAGGTACTGTAGAACTAGAAGTCCCAGCGAGCACCTTTGGTACGTCTAGTTCTGCAATAGGTAGAAAACCGTTCAATGGCTGCTGCCTTTCATAGCTCTAATGAACAACAAGAAAACGTCTAAGCTGGCTGTAGGTTTTACCTCGCCTGGAACACAACTGGGAGGTGTGCAGGAAGCGCAACCATGTGGGCCGCTGGTACGTGCAGCATAGCCGGCTTCTGAGAGCACACACGATCCGCACAGCCTTGGCTGCCATGACGAGGCTACCTCTGCTCACGTGACCAATACACTGACCCGCTCAGAAGCCTGCTGCACTTCCTGCGATACGCCAGTCCAGTCAGTGGTGTGCTACCTACTACATGGGCAGAGATCACAATTGTCTCCTTCCGAGCTAAATTCCTTTTCTCTTTGTCCCTCATTTGGAACTTGATCCCTCCTTCCTCAATTGTGCCTCATTTGGAACTTGATCCCTCCTTCCTCAATTGTCCCTCATTTGGAACTTGATCCCTCTACCCCTCCTTCCTCAATTGTTTCTCATTTAGAACTAGATCCCTCTGTACCTCCTTCCTCAGTTGTTCCTCTTTTGGAACTTGACCCCTCTGTCCCTCCTTCCTCAATTCCCCCCCATTTGGAACTAGAGCCCTGTGTCCCTCCTTCCTCAATTGTCCCTCATTTGGAACTAGATGCCTCTGTCCCTCTCTCCTCCATTGTCCCTCATTTGGAACTGGATCCCTCTGTACCTCTTTCCTCAATTGTTTTTCATTTGTTACTTGACCCCTTTGTCCTTCTCTCCTCAATTGTCACTCCTTTGAAACTAGAACCCTCTATCCCTCTTTCCTTGTTTGTTCCTCTTTTGGAGCTTGATCCCCCTGTCCCTCTCTCCTCTATTGTCCCTGTTTTGGAACTTGATCCCACTGTCCCTCTCTCATTTGTTGTCCCTCTCTCCTCATAGTTGCCAGCATTTAAAAAAAAAAATATTCCAGGGACCCCTTTTTAGTTGTGATTGCAGTAAGCAGTGTCAGCACCACCCAGCTCAACAAAAGTCACATTTTAAGGCCCCATTCACACTGTCCACTTGCATTTTTATGTCCAGATCTGTCTGCAAATACTGTCAGTACAGATATGTGCAAAAAAAGAGCCAAATGGGACTGCTCCACCAGAATAAAAAGTGTGCAATTGAGTGCAAAGTCTGTTTTAAAAGAGAGGGATGAAATAGAAAATCTGCAGGACGCTGCCCCAAACCAGCCAGGGGGACTGCAAAATCTGGGGAAAAAAGCACAAACAAGGGGCTGATGGTATCTGATGAAGGGGGCGTGACCCCGGAAATGCGTTATCATCACAGCCTACCTTGCTGGCACACAGGCACAGCTGTGCAGCTAACACTGGCTTCTTCTTTGGTCCATGTATTCACTTACAATGATTTAATCATGTCGACCTTTGTGAGTATGTTTCTCATCCACTATTGTTTTTATCCTAAAGGAGAACTATGAGGTGAGTACTTTTCACTCACCTAAGTTCTAGCCGACCTGTGACAATGAGACTGTCACAGGTCGGCTCAGTAGATCGGGAGGTGAGCGAACATATACCAGCGTTCGCTCACCTCTCAATCCTGTCTGGATTCCCCTCCCCCCGCTCCGATCCTCCAGCGCTGACTGAACGGAGGGGGCGGGTGCAGCTGGCTCTGCCTCTAGATAGGCAGAGCCAGCTGTCAGTCACGCACCTGGGCGGATCCCGGCACAATTGTCAGGATCCGCTTCAGCTGCGGCGTCTCAGTATACCGCGAGCTACAGCGAGCTGTATACTGAGCCTAGGGTGACGGGAGGACGCTAGTTTGTGTCCTCCCGTTACCCTAAGGAGAACTATGGGGAAAAGACTTAACCCCATAGTTCTCCTTTAAATACATTTGTCTGCACCAGGAAAGACGCCCCTTGTTTGTGCTTTTTCTGCAAATACTGTCAGACTAGATGCCTTTTTATGCTTCTAAATGCAGAACATGACGTGCGTTTACACACATAAGCTTTTAGATGCATCTGTTCTTTGAAACAGTCCACTGAAGTAGCCAATGAGATTTCATCAAATAGATGCGTCTTGCGCTTACACGTTTAGAAGCTAAAAAATGTTCTTCTATTTTTCCTAAACACATCTAAACTGACTGCATCTGAAAGCATCTAAACGCAAGGTGTGAATGGATCCACTGGAAATCATTTGAGGCATTTATATGCGTTAACCCCCCCCCCATTAAAGATGCATCTAATCATTCCCTGGTGTGAGTGCAGCTTAAAAGTGAAGGAGCTCAGAGGAAAATAATTGGCTGAACAGTGACCACAATCAAATGCAGTCACTGTTCAGGTATTCTAACAGCTGTAGGTGCCAGTCGCCTGAATACAATAGCCAGCAGGGGGAGATTCCTCCATCTGCGCTCTTTAGTGTGGATGGGGAAATTGAGTGACTTCTATAGTTTTGTCCACAGGACTGAACAATGGAAATGTACATGTGTATGGCCGGCCTTAGTCTGTACTGTACTGTAAAATGCGGCAACCCAACAGCTCTGGCAGAGAATGCAATGATAAACACCAATCACACTGCAAACACGATTGGCATCAAATATTTATAACGCATTGTCTGACACTGACTGTCCTGCTGAGTTCTGCAACATATGTTGTGGCTGCTGATGGGTTTATAGAGGTCAGAAATCCTGTGTAATAAAACCAGTTAGGAGGCATGACGTGTGAATATGGATTCTGAATCACTAGGGGTCTTATGAATGTATGTAATGGACAATAGACATGTGCCATTCGTTTCAGAAAAATTAATTTTTCGGACGAATTTTCGTTATTCGGAGATTCGGATGTACCCACATTTCCGAATAACAGAAATGACGAATAAAAACGAATCAGAATTTCCGAAAACTAAATTTCAGACGAAATTTGTTAGCGGTAGTCTGTAGGAATGTTCGTTTGTGGACGGATTTTCGTTACAGCAAAGTGACATAAAAAAAAAAGTGGGTTCCCCCCTAAAATTCCTACCAGACCCTTAATCCGAGCACAGGCCCAGCAGGGCAGGAAAGGGGGGGACGATCGAGTGCCCCCCCTCCCTGCGCCTTACCAGGCCATGTGCCCCCGGCATTGGGAGGGTGTCAAGGGCCTCTTCCCCACAACCCTGACCCGGTGGTTGTGGGGGTCTACGGGAAGGGGGGAGTATTTGCATTGGGATACCCCTTTAATTAAGGGGGCACCCAGATGCCCCCCCCCCCCACCCTAGTGAATGGGTCAGGGTTGTGGGGAAGAGGCCCTTGTCCCCATTGGAACCCCCAAAGAAGCTGATGAAGCAGATATCTGCTTCATCAGCTACTCTCCAGCTTCCGAAGCTGGGAGAGTGACACAAGAATGCGGAAGTGATGTAATATACATCACTTCCGCATTCTGACAGCGGAGGGAGATCGTGTACCGACCTCCCTCTTATCCCCTGTCACAGAGCGACTATGCTGGTCCCGGGCTCGCACCGACTTTCGTTGTGCGATGGTTGTAAGATAATTAAAATCTCGTACGATCTGCCCCTCTTGGACAGGCAGATCCTACTTGCGATCATCGCAAGCCCGCCCCGCTGAGGGGGAGGGCTTCCGATGACTGCAATGCTGAGCGGTCAGTGTGTGCGCTTGCGCACACCGGCCCGTTCGGCATTTGTCTTCCGAGCACGCCACTAAACCACAGAAAATCTTATGATTTTCGGCTGGTTTGCCAAAAGACGTGCGCCCTTACAGTAGAAACGCTTGCACGCCTTCCATACACCTGCCGATTATCGTATGATCGCTGGATCACATCGGCAGATGTATGGGAACCTTTAGAGAGGATTTTACACTGACCACCAATGTAAGGGGGATTTTACACTGACCACCAATGTAAGGGGGATTTTACACTGACCACCAATGTAAGGGGGATTTTACACTGACCACCAATGTAAAGGTGCCCATACACTGCACGATTATCGTACGATAATCGTATGCGATCGGTTTTTCGTACGATAATCGAGCAGTGTGAACGGAGACGTGCGACCGTTTCTACTGTACGGTCGCACGTCTTCTGTCGAACCAGCATGTTCGAAAACCAGCCGGGAATCGTACGATTCTCGGCTGGTTAGAACGGTGCTCGGAAGATAAATGCTGAACGGGCCGGTGTGCGCACGCGCACACTGCCCGTTCAGCATTGCGGTCATCGGAAGCCTTGCGATGATCGAGAGTGCGATCTGCCTGTCCAAGATAGGCAGATCGTACGTTTTTTTAATCCCTTTACAACCATCGCAAGACTAAAGTCTTGCGATGGTTGTAGAGTGTATGGCCACCTTAAGGGGGATTTTACACTGACCACCAATGTAAGGGGGATTTTACAATGGCCACCAATGTAAGGGGGATTTTACAATGGCCACCAATGTAAGGGGGATTTTTTTTTTTGGCTTCGTGTGGCTTCGGGCCGGCCGAACATGCTCAGAACTAGGTCCCTCTGTCTCTCCCCCCTCAGTTGTCCCTCTTTTGGAACAAACTCCCCTTTTACTTTCCCCTGTGACTCAGTAGTATATCAACCTGGTTCTGTCTGCCCTGTTGCTATCATCTCTGCGATGTGAGTCTCTGAGATGGCCTTTCATAGTGTTGCACAGGTATAAGGTTGTCCTGAGGCCAAAGGCCTCCTTTCTTCCTTTTTTCCTCCTTCCACTTCCACAAATGTTTC